ATAAACATCACAAAGAACCAAATAAAACAAATTTAAAAATATTTCAAAAATATATATAATATCAAATAATATTAACCTTTTCTAATGCTATACGAGCATGCGTTTCATATACTCTAACCGTAAACTCATCTTGTATACGTTGAACCTTGGATTCATTATATATATATATAAAATTTTTTTTTTATCAACTAATTTTTTTTTTTTTAAAAAAAAAAAAAAATTAATGGCCAACCGTTAAATCTTGACGTAAAGATTTAAATTGATCACAAATGTATGTGTAATTATTTCCTCCCGTCCATTTACTTTTTAAAACTTCAAGTGTTTTCTTTAGGACACGTAATGGCCTTACTGTTGAAGGATCTGGTGCCTGATAATGACAAATTTAAGTGTATCTAACGGACTAGAAATTGAATACTTACAAAAAGTCTTACTGAATATATAATAAATACTCACTGATGTTAAACGTAAATATTGCTTTTCAAGTTGTTGACAAGTTCCAACAATAGTTTGTTCCATGTTTATTACATCTAATTCCTATGTTACATTTATAAATAAAAGGCTTTTTTTATAAGAATAATCAAAAAAATAACATTTTGTTATTATTCATTCTAAAAACTTTACTGGTTCCTTAGATTCCCAGTGTAATTTATTCGTTCTATCATGTGCTTGAAATCTTTTTGCACGTTTCTCTCTTTTGTCAAGTTCATTAATATCATTGTCATCTATATCTTGTTCTGGTGATCTACTAGAAGAGTTAGAATTGATTAAATAAAATCTATTAACAATATTCAGTAACTATTAAATTATATCTGAAAAACATATACCCTCTTCGTTTATTATCTTTATTTGGACTAATTAATAGAAGATTTGGTTTTAATTTTTTTTTTTCAAATGTTAAAACCAAATTAACAATAACCAAATTTACCTTGGTGTGTAACAGCTTGGAGGTAATTCCATGTTTTTCCAATCAGTGGTCCACATTTGGTTCATTCTAATTTTTTCTTCAATCAAAATTTTAAGTTCTCTTTCAACAGCATCAGTGTTGTCCGGGGAAACAACATCAAAACTTTTTCTCAGGTATTCCCTATTAATAAAAATTATAATCATAATCAATGAAAAAGAAATATTTATGATGATAATTATAATTATCATCATACCCTGGACGTACCTCAAATCAGGTGGCCATCTATTTTCAGTGGTAGTTTGGGTTCTAAATTACAGATTTCGATGCTTTCTTTTTAATAAAAATGCTTTTCTTCCACAAAAAAAAAACGAAAAGACGTAATTTTCCCTACTTACTCTGCTTGTTTCTCATGATTTGAAGTAGTTGCTGCATACATGATGTTTAAATAAAAGTTTGTACAGTTGATAAATCCAATTAAACAATCTATGGTCAAATTAAAAGTAGTTACAAGTTTAAAAGTTTGATAGTTAAGATAGAGATAGTAATAGTAATAATAATAATAGTTAATAATAATAATAGTAATGGCAAAAGAATATTTTTCGTTGTGACCAGCATAGTAGTTGTGTGACATGTCCTAAAAATCAAGGGAAAAGTTTATTTTCCGAAAAATTTCCGGGTTTTCTTTTTTCATTACATTGAAAACATAAATTAAACCGCCATTATCCATTAATTGAACGTAAATCTTGTAAAGAAATTTATGTTATTTAAACTGCCTTACTTTATATTTTGGAATACACACATCGATAAGAGAATGTAAATATGTCTGTTCTGGCAAATATGCATCTAGTTTATGAAAATTTCATAAAGTTGTGAATATTTTAAACATATTCCAAAGGCAAAGATTAAACAATAATTTATGCAATTTTGAGTTGCATGGTTCATCATTATTTATTTCTAATTCAAAGCTCATATCACATTTATAATGATAAATAAAAAAAATTAGTAAATAAAAATAAAATATAATAATAAAAATGTTTGTCAATTTCAATTTAGATCAACCGGTTTTGATCAAAACTCATAAACTTAATATCATGTTAATGAAACATACTTAAAACATTAAAAAATTAATAGTCAAATCCACAGCAAAATGAGCACAATCCTCCAAGATCTTCATGATATTATGAATAGACAATCTTTTATTTGCTTCAAAAATATGTGCATTTCATACTGTTAGGATAGGTCTCGGAAAATTAGTTCCAGATAGATTCTTTTTGACCTTGTAAATAATCCCTTGCAGGTAATAATTGTATTTCATTGAAATGATGATTATAATAACTATACTAAATAATTTAATTTAAATTCTTTTTTTATTAGAGGATAATAGAGCTCTTGGAGCTTGGTTTTTACATGATGATACATATCTTGCACCATGCTTTTGCTCACAGTTGTGGAGTATCTAACTAATCTATTTATTGATTTACTTGGCGATGAAATTGAAAATTATAACACAAGAGAAACATCCTTGCTTCAAAAAGCAAAATTATAACTGGGATTGGAATATTCTATTTATTTTTAATCAACATCATCATTTGGTAAAATTAAATCATTTTGATAAATTTTGTTCAATAATTTCTTTTTTTTTTATTAGATACTAACTATCATGTTTCAATTGGTGATATTCGTAAAAAATAGATGATAGTAAAGAGGATTTCCCATATATTCTGATGAGCCTAAAAAACTTGTTGAAATGCACGAAAAGACTGAAATAATATTAATATAAATTTCAACTCGGATTAGTATTCCATGTCGCAATCCAAAAAAAGAAACAAAGTGGTCGTAAAGGTGGTAGCAACCATCATCAAAAGTTGCAGCCAGTATCCTTACCTCGGACTAAAAATAAACTTAATTGGTGAGAAATGCTGATCATTTTTTGTTATTT